CCCCCCCTAACCCTAACCCTAACCCTAACCCCTAACCCTAACCCCCCCCCCTAACCCTAACCCCCCCCCTAACCCTAACCCTAACCCCCCTAACCCTAACCCTAACCCTAACCCCTAACCCTAACCCCCCTAACCCTAACCCTAACCCCCCCTAACCCTAACCCCTAACCCTAACCCCCCTAACCCTAACCCTAACCCTAACCCTAACCCTAACCTAACCCTAACCCTAACCCTAACCCCCCTAACCCTAACCCTAACCCTAACCCTATCAGAGAGACTCCTCACTTCCTATCCAGCAGGTCTAAGAATTAGCCACGTGTGGCGCACAGTCTCAGTCGGGCAGGCCGACTGAATTCGATTTGTTCCGGACAACTCATACAGTGAAGGGGAGTCGGACCCTGCCGCTTGCTGCAGATGCGCGAAAGTTCTGGATGGAAGGCTAGTGAAGCGGTTATCAATGATGATGCTACTAGTATTGGTGTTGAGATGCTTCGGCCAACGGGAATGCGAACTTTGTGAGAGGGGAATGGCATCTATTTAACACTTGGAAGAAGGGAGGAACACAGTTTCCATTTTGCGGAACGCGGTGGCGGTCAGTTAACTAGTGCCCACCTCGGAGCTGGTCCCCGGAATTCGGTTGTGAAGGTGACCTTGCTTTGAGTTTGTTGAGCCCATGATTTCAGAGTAGCCGTAAGGCGGCACAAAGTTCGGAATGACGGGCGGGCCACCTTCTTGGCCCTCGCCACTGACGGCGACAAGGTGGCCTGGAGGATAGTAGATTGGGTAGAATCCAGGTCCACCAGCTTCAGGAGGTGGGAGGGGCTGGTCGTTGGCATCTGTAGGTGGCGGACCGTAATAAGTTTATTCGTTTGTTGTCAGTGCCATTGTATGTAAGGAAATGAGTGTGCCTACGTATGATCTGCTGCTCTTCGTCCTTTTGCTGCTGGAGAATGATGCGACTGATAATCTTATAATCAACGACGCGGGCTGAAAATGTTACTTCCTCCCGCGTGTGATTCTGCCTGTCCAGTTGGCCGATATCTCGATACTTCCTCGAGGATGCTGTCAAAGCGACACCCGCCAGCCGTCCTTGATGCAATCGCATCGCATTGTCGCGGACACTGGCCAGGTCGAATACGACATCAACCTCTGACTTCTTCCAGACGAGTCCCCGTTCCGAATCGGGAGCTTCGGAGCGTGCGATATCGCTCGCGGTCTGTCGGTGGGCATTTGAGTCTGCCTCAATTAATTCAATAGTGTCACTAGGCTCCGAAACCTCCTCAGGCGTCCAGTCATCTAAGAAGAAATAAGCACTAGGACTGAGAATCCAAGTCGCCGTATTAACGCCGCACCATAACGAAGCCTATTGGCAGTCTGATATACCTGCGGCAGTACAGACAGTGAGGAGCTAACTCGAGGAAGACTCAGTATTTCCAAAACGTACCCTAATCGCTATGCTGTCAAGAATGTCGAGGAGCGTGCAAGGGGACGGCGATCCGTCGTCATATTTGGCTTCAGACCAATCTACACTAAGTATCGTCCTGTTGTTGGGCCCCAGAAACACATGTATGTTCTATGAAAACAATCAATAATCGATCTGTACTACGTGCTCACTGGAAGTGCTCACTTCAGCTCCAAGCTTTGTAAGTGGAATACCGCGATCATCTAAACGAAGAAGGCCTGCCTACACATGGGACCGTCAGTGTGCCTTTGCCGGATACTACAGGAGGTCGTACGGAGAGTCCATAGATCTAGCAGTAATCAGCAACGGAGTGAGGTACGCTGGAGAAGGACGTTACAAATGAGACACAGGCACCCACAACGTCCTCGAGATTCGATGTCAACAAGGTTGCCAATTGTTGTTCAGTGTTGCCTCTGATACCATCTAGGAGTAGAAATTGAATCTTCTTTAAGAGAGGGTTACGAGGAGCTGGAAACGGACCGTAAACGATGTAGGGCATCGATTCCGAAAGTGTTGATTTACCAATCACCGTCACAGTGTTGGGATGACTTAGGCCGTCCGATGAGACATCACACAACACAAAGAAGAAGAATAGAGCGTACATGTCTTGACGGTCATGCTCCAAGTGTAGGGCCCAATCCTGATTCCATGAAAGTCTTAGAGGGTGTATAGCGCAGATGTGATCAATGCTCACCGTTTTGGCATCATGACCTTTGAAGCACTTTATCGCAATTAGCTTAGTTCCATAAGAGCCTCCGTAGACGTCGAATTCGCCTTTGGACAATAAGACTAGATCAAATAGATCAAATTCTTTCCGCATTATCTTAAGAGGTGTCGTTAGAATCGATTATTGAGCAGGTAACGCGGAGTTCTAACCTCCGGACATTCTGGCGCGACATCATGAACACGTCGAGTAGCACAGGAGGATATCGGCTCGGTTTGAAGCTGGAGTGAGATCAGCGAGGATATCTGTGAGGCAACTCTCGATAACCAAGCTCGGTAAGAACAACGACGAACGCACTTGAAATAACTGCATGTAATTGTCAAGGTCCGTGCTGATCTTGCCGAGGTCGGACTTGGTCTTCTCGGGCATGAGATAACGCTTCCACTTAGGCTTGCTTGCTAGTTTATCGACGCGATGAAGGAGTCCCTCAAGACATCTAGAGACCCGCGATGTCAATGTCACAGTAAAAGGCAAGCCGATGGTGCATGAACAGGCGCACCGCTGAAGCGAGTCAATGCGTCGAGACGTGTGAGCGGAGATGTCGTTTGGATCAATATCACGGAAAGTATCCGCGATTGTTAGAAAAACCTGCACGATACGCTCCGCAATAGCTTCACAATCATCAATATTCTCGGTGACAGCAAGTAGCTTGTTGACGATGATGAGAGCAATTCCAGTGGCTACGGAGAGAAACGGCAAGGAATCGGTGGCGTTCTAAAGCGGAATGTTCAGGATGATAGATGCTGTTGTGAACCTCCGCGCGACTTACCTTGACTATCTCGATAGTGCTGGCCGCTGTCGTAAGGGCAGTTGCGGATTTCTTGCGCTTTCTTGAAAGAAGAGCTGTATGCATGGCGGCAAGGTGGGGGAAGCAGGATGAGTCGTGTAAACACTGCCTCCAACAGTCAACTAAAACGGGGAGACCACGTGTGATGTCAAATGGCTTGCCGCTCTGGCGCCTCTGACAGCAATGAAGGATCTTCGATTGCCGTGACCTCGAATGCAATCCATCAGCAGTTGTGAAGAAGATCAGGACGGTGCTGTCATGGAAGCGGTGCACGCAGTCAGAGTGGACGTACTGAACCTCATCCGGTTTGAACAAACTCGCACGATGTTTCAGCGCGAAGCCCCGTAAAGCGAGCGTAGCCGAAAAGCATAAAGAAAACACCCGAGGCCCTTCTCTCCCGTCGAGAAATGGGTTGCAATTGGAATTAATTGACGACGGTTTTGTCTGAAAATCATGAGAACCCTAACCCGAGTCTTTGTTGACGCGTTGTTTGCCATCGTCTTTGGACGCATCTGCTTGTGGAATCTGCTCTCTCCGACATCAGCCATCTCGACACTATCCATTCCTATCCACCCCGCCTGCACCTGTCCATGTCATCATAAGGATGGAATGCGCCGTACTCGCCCATCGTTTGGATTTTATGCGTGAACTTCACTTTGCTTTGACTAGCACCGACCTTCCATAGCGACTGCCGTCTCTTTGACCGCCGACAAATACATTTAATTCCTGGAGGGAAACAAGTCTGCCTTGTGCATTCCCATATGGCCCTCCTTCGCAAACTTCCCATAGTGTCTCGTCTTTTTCGAAAGCTGACGCGAACGACTCGCAGCAGCGACGCGTCCACCATCTACACGGTCGTGTCTTCATCCGCAGCTTGGATTTGTCGTCCATCTCCCCTGGGCTTCTCGGTGGCGGCAATACCGGCCTCGTCGACACTGCTATCTTCGTACACCTCATCGACGAACACGCTGAACACGCTAAACACCTCCGGGCGGCGGTGTCGGGTCCAAGGGCTACCAAAGTGGGTACATGATGGGGGAAGACGAGTCAACCGTGTAACCCAGCGCCTCTTCCTTGCGGCTCTCTTCTTCTCTCTCACGGCTTCCCGCCTACACACCGTCATTATCATCATATTCGGCTACTCGCCCAACAAATACCTTGACTTTTTCCTCTCTCACTCCTCCGAATACTCCATGTCCACCGACGCCCCGTCCAGCACGAGCCCAAGTCGCTCTAGGACGCCTGCAACGCGCTAGGGTACACGAACCACGCCGACGCCATGCGTGCACTGCGTAGGAATGGAGACGTCATCCGCAGAGGAAGCGGTACAGGCGGGTGGATGGTCGGTGTCAAGTGGGCTGATGCCTCTGCAAATATGACATCGCCGCCGCAGCAGCCTTCGGGCTGAGGAGCGTATAGGAAGCATCAGAGTCTGCACGACAGGGCAGACAATATGGACGTGGATGCGCCGAGGAGCCTAGGCATGTCGATTAAGCTTGCGCCGAGCTTGTCGATTTTTAGAACAGCCAAGGCGGCGAGGGGGGAACGCCTGTGAGGGCGCAGCCGGCTGTGGTGGCGGGCGAGAGTCCGAGTAAAGGTGTGCTTGGGCAGGTGTCGGATTTGATCTTTGGGTGGTAGTGGTTTTGAGAATGTTGTTAATGAGCCTTTTCCTGCCACAGGATGCGTGCATGATATTTTTCGCCATTCCCATGAACTACTTGTGGACCGCAGATGCCCTCATTCTACTATCCATTCGATAGCGTAGTATTGCGCAAAGTCCAGTGAAATATTAGTTGCAACTCGGGTATCTTGAGCAAACACGATTGATATATTCAACTAAGGTCTGGCAGGTACAGATACCTACGATTCCTGCTTGGGCGGCTTGGCCACAAAAAAGTCAAATGTTTGTGTCGTATGTCCTTAATCAGTACACCGAAGGGGAGTCGAACCCCTACTACCGCTTGCTCCATCGGTTATGGAAGGAAAGCATGATAACCCTTTTACTATCGGTGTTGTACGCGTAAGTACCTTGTTCACCCAATCCGAGGTGGCGCAACATTCGATGTGCTCGGAACGAAACGTACTATAGTCTGCAGGACACTGAAGTTATTAGCATTGGAAAGAGATAAGTACGCAGCGACTCGACGCTGATAAGACGAGCTATCTGATGGTGAAGTTGTCTTCACTGCATCCCGGGGCGACTCTGAGGCGACATACAAAACGCACGTTCATCAGATAGGGACCGTTGCTCTGCGTCATCTATGTGGCTTAAAGAGAATGCCGCTGAGGAAGATGAGAGGCTATGAGCTATGATACTGAACGACGAACTTACTTGAACGTGTTTGTTTGCCCTTGTTGAGTTCTGATCGATTCAGCTCTCTTTTTCGCCACGATGTCTCTTTACTTGCTCTTACCTGTGGTGACTTCTTCTGCGCAGCCCAAGGAACTCAGTTTGCGCCTGCTCCCAGACCCAGAATCGAACGGCGAACGAAGCTCCTCTGTCCGCTCTGTGATACCGAGTTGCATAGCTGGTCCTACTGAGGCTGAGGCTGAGGCTACTGCCTGGGATCCCCGTTTGATCTACCCACATCGCAGTCAAGCTAGCTGCTACTGTATTTATCCATGTATAAAACTAACTTGCGGGGCAAACATATCTTCCGTTCGTGCTCTCGCTGGATTGACACACCATCCTCTACACCAGCACATACGAAGAGAGATGACAAGGATACCTTGCATCCGCTGAGAGTCAGACCACTCTCACTGACAACTTCTTCGGCCTCGGTACGTCAATCATATCCTTGCTTAACATCTCCCGGAAAACCCCTGCCAACGCCTAATTTGGTGCAAACGCGAAATTGATCTTTCTGCTTTTACAAGCACCATCACGAATTCATCTTTCGTGTTTCGACTCTGGCCCTTTCATGTCAACAAACGCCTTGTCCTCGATGTTCATTAACCACGGTGGTCGTCTGGGTAGGATCGTCGCTCAGTAATGATCCGGGGTTTGCTAGTTATCTTACTAGGCTCTGGCAATCTCGACTTACTTGTGGAGCACATCGAAATTGCTCTCCCGCGCTGCCACACAGGCCTGGTACCGTGCTGTCCGATAAGACGGTAGATTTATTCGCGAAACGAGTGCCACAGTCTTTCGTTCTGATTAAGCACAACTCGGAGCGAAGAACGTACGTGTCTAGTTCCTATTCACCAACTTCTTTTAACCTTTACCTCATCAACAGGCTCCTCAAAGTTTGCGCCCATAGACGAGGACACGGGCCGGATGTCAATGTTAATCTTCGGTCTTGTCTCTGTGCAGCTGATGATTACTGTCGACTCGAATACGTGATGGAGACACACGGATGAGTGTTTCGCTTACCAACCTCAAATTGTAGAGCGCTGCTCCTGCGCCGGAGAAGCGAGGCAAACACACCGTTGTCCTCCACCACCAAAATGTACGCAAGCCAACACCGTTAGGCTTCTCCCTTAGCACGCTGACCACATCCACGGTTAAGTCTAACGAATACCAAAGCGACTACATGATGGAGGCAGGCCTGTCCTTCAAGAGTCTGACAAGCCGCTTCCCATATCAACCAAAGCGAACACGAACAGCAGGACGGGAGTGGCCGATAATATGCATGTGGATGCTAGGGAGTGTCAGCATGCCGATTAAGCGGGCGCCGCGCTCATGCTCATCAGTTTTTTGTGGTGGCGGGCGAGAGTCCGAATAGTCGGATTTGATATTTAGGTAGTACATGGCGGGTTCTTGAGAATGGGATTGAGGACATTGCGCGCATGATATACTATACTGTATTTCACCATGGTTCGGAGCCTCATAGCAGATCCTCATTAATCATTCCCCACTGGCAAAGTCCCAGTGAGATTCGGTTCAGTGTTCACTTGAGAACCCAGCCATTCAACGCACGAAATTATTGCAAAAACAATCACTCGCTCCACAGTATCATACACCGAAGGGGAGTCGAACCCCTGCCGCTTGCTGACACACCTGGAACCGATTTTATGGAAGGCAAGCATGATAACCGCTTCACCATCGGTGTTATGCACCACCCTTATACGCCCATTCGCTGTGGCGCAATATTTCAATTTCGAGACGTTCATGCAGCCAGATCGAACACAACTTGTCAATGAGGTCCTCATAGTGACGAATGTCAAGAGCCTCTCTCACCATCTTGATATTCCAGCCATCGGAAAGCTTCCCCGTAACCTCAACACCCTGGGGCAAATCCGTCCGCGGCGATTTCAGATGGTGCTGCCAAGTAGGAATAACGTGCATTCTCTAGTACTACGGTCAAAAGCATCTGCACCCCGGGGCCGGGTCTTGATTTGAGAATTGTCTGTCCAACATCCCAGGGGGGTAAAATACTTCAGACCCTTTGACTCTCTGACTGGGAGTCGAACCCAGCTTTCGCGCGCATGACCACTGGTTTGCAAAGTATGACAGGCGCGTGTACTAACCGATATACTATCAGAGATGTTATGCTCGTTCTAGGCTCTCGACGAAATCGCTACGAAGTGTAGTTGTTTTCCAGCGCTGCGCTCCATATCCACAGATCTTCCTTATATTACAAAAGCGTGCAGCACCGATTCATCTGGATACATCAAACTTGAGGTACTCTTACCGAATACCCAGGTCATGAAACCAAACACAGTCAGTATATATAATATTACTCCTCCTTCCTAGATATAAAAAATACAAAGGGCAGAAAAAACGCATGTAAGTAAAATGAAAAAAAGCGGGATGTGTGTAGGCGGTGGTAAGTAATAGTACAATCCAAGGGGAGAGCAATGCAGCGAACAGAAGAACAATCGACATCAAGTCGTAGTCCATATATCCCCCATCTTCAACCCCAGCCCCAACTCGTCGTCCTCGTCCTCAAGCACGAGCACCCCGCGCAACTTGGACGGACAGCGCACAGACTCCCGCCTCCCAATGACGCCATCCTCTCTGCCAGCTGCACTATCCCCCTCCCGTCGCCTAAAGACCATCCTCGCCACGAGCTGCTTCATACTGCCCACAATCGTCTTTCCCTTCTTCACCCTCAGCGGCGGAGCGTCGCCCCCCACGTTGAGCCTCACGAGCGCCTCCACCTCCCTCGCGCGCTCCTTTGCGCGCTTCCTCGCGCCGCCCCGCTCCAGCGTCCGGACGAGTCTCTCGTCCGCACGGCGCAGCTCGAGGAGCTGTCGCAGATCGCCTAGCATCTCCGGGGGACACGCACCTCCTCCCGGGGAAGAATACAACAACGCCTCGTACGGGCTCGAATCGAATGCCTCGGCGACGGCGACCGCGGCTGGGGGACATCGACATCAACAAGAAGCAGTGCGCCGCTGGGCTTGTTATCGTCGTCGTCGTCTCCATATCTTGGCTCGTAATAATTGTCATGGTCCAAGTCGTAATCGGGTAACGCTAGAGTGGCAAGGGTCGGGCTCTGTGCGCCCTCTTCATCAAAGAAATCGCAGGGCCCAGCACCGAGGAGAAAGCTCCCGCCTCGCTCTTCCGCATCATCGGATGGCGGCATCGAGGCGTCCATCCATTCCGGCGACAGCGGCGAGAGCAGCTCCGCTTGCGTCGGCCCGACACCTAGGAGAGAGAGCGTAGGCGTCATGACCTCGTGCTCGTCTGGCGGTGTAGGCGGCGGAGAGTGTTGTTGGTGTGGGTGTGGGTGTGCGCGCACGCGGACGACGGGCGAGTCTAGCAGGCCGCCATAGGCGTGCTCTGCGTCTGGTGGCGGGAACTCGTCCGGGAGCGGCACGCTGCGCTTTAGGACCGAGCCCGACGGCGGGGGCGTCAGGAGCCCTCCGCATGGGAAGAGTGCGGGTGGTAATGGTGGTGGTGGTGTAGGTGTAGATGTAGTGGTACACGGAAATCGATATAGATCGACATCCTCGTCTTCATCCTCATATAACATATCGTCGTCCTCCTCTTCTCTGTGCAGCATTTCTCGTCTAACACATCGTCAGCCCCCTCTACACGAACGAAGCCGAAAGACGCACCACTCGGAATCAAAGCAAAAAAAACCAGGAGAAAGAGAAAAAAAAAAGCAAAGACTGAGATGGAAAAAACAACTCGTTATCGCGGGGGCAGAAATCACATAGATCCCTCGTCCATCGCCTCTGATCCTTTGCCTCCAAGCGAATAAGTCCTGGTGTGGTGGTCGTGGTCAGAGGCACGACTCGGGGTGCAAACCCAAGGTACGGCCCTTGATGCGCTTACTAAGCCGCGCCCACGCCAAATCCCATTCATTCCAGACCGAGACAAGCTTGGCCTTGGCTCATCCATGAACCATCGTTAGCGTTTGACACGCCCCGAGACGGAGGCCCATGTTCTATTATCTCCTCCAAATCAGTAGTATTCCTAGTACACGCTGTCGCCTCGTGCTCTCCATATCATATCCGATGGGAACCAGTCTCAGGCGCGTGAGCAACCCCGAAATCAATGGGCGCAAGTTGACCTTCCGCGGAATCACTTAAAGTTATCACCGGGTCTTGATTTCGCAATCGAAAGGTCTAAGCGTTCCCTCCCTCGGGAAATTCCATATCCCTGCTTCATCCCACTGTTTACAACACCGATGGTGAAGCGGTTATCATGCTTGCCTTCCATCCACTTGCCTACAAGGATGCAGCAAGCGGCAGGGGTTCGACTCCCCTTCGGTGTATGCATAGCGAAGTCCGACTGTCACTTTTTGGCTCAGAATTTTGCGCCACACTGGAGTAATTGGCTGTTCTTGAAACATATAGTTTGTCCTCGACGCTGGTCGCTCACAAATCACCCTATGCACGTGCTTCTCCTGTAAACCGAACAACTTCTCCATCCAGTCCCCTCACCGCAAAGTACTAAATTCATCCCATCGCTTTCCACATCGGCACACCAATGGTAAAGTGGTTCTCCCGCATTTGGTGTAGTCTTCACTGGAAGTGAATGTTTTTCCAATACTCCTACCGCACACACATTCAAACTTCTCTAGCAACCGACAAGCCTCCGTACCACCCTGATGGTACAGCGGTTACTCATCTCGGTTTGGTGTGTAATGGAATTTGAAATCCAGCCTTTTTGGATCCCTTTCATAGCTGCTGCCGGTTTGAGAGTTGCATGAAGACTGAGGACTCGGATCTGGATGCCACACCAATGATGAAGCGGTTATCATGCTTGCCTCAAGCTGGCAGCAGGGGTTCGACTCCCCTATGGTTGTAGTGTGTCTGTCATATATGCGCAGTGCCTTTTTTGAGGCTCAGAATTTAGTCGTCCGCCGACCATCTTGCCGAGTCTTTATGTATGCACAAAACACAATAGTATATGAACTCTGAATCAAACCGTACCCGCTCAGTCTTAGTACATAAATCCATCCCCCCGCTCTCCTCATTACCACACCGATGGTAAAGCGGTTATCCTCCCTGTGGTGTGGGTAATGGAAATGCTTTTTTCTCCTCTTTTTCGCTTATTTGACGTCGTCACCGAGTTCAGGCTCAAAGACGACTACACTGACGAGACTGACACATAAGCGCGCACCGACGGTAGAGGGCCCAGGTATGCAGGAGGCGAGAGAAGTTGATGCGGAGCGGGATGGAGGCGGGAATATCATTATTCGAGTATGGTACGGAGCAACTGCGCAGATTCCGTGACAGATACTAAGAGTCGGTTTGTCGTTCCCAGAGGTGCCGACGCGTCGGAATGAGATTTAAAGGCGGAGAACGTGATGGTAAGAAGCTAGCCCGATTAGGTTAAACACGATCGACATGCTTTTGCTCTTGCCCGCCATGATCTGTCTCTGCGCATCTGGGAGTTTGTCAGTCGGTGCCCGAACCTCGGATCGTCTCCTCTCTCTATATTCTTCTCTGTCGTCTCTCGCGAAATCTGAATGCGGTTCTCCACGAATTCAATGAGCGGCTCTGGCTCAAAGCGCATCTTGGGTCTTGCTATGACTACAAACTCACCTTTATGTCCTCTGCGCCTCGACTGTCGTGTCTTCCCAACATTCCGACACGGGTTGTCTCTGGAAACTGTCAGAACTCTGGATGGTACGTTCTGAACAGCGACGTGTTGTGCAGGCCGTCACACCGATGGTGAACTGGCTATCATGCTTGCCTTCCATGGCTGCTGGGCATCATCGTTCGAGCAAGCGGCAGAGGTTCGATTCCTCTTCAGTGTGTAAGATATGGGATTCACATTTTTGGCTCAGGATTTGCGCTACACTGAAAAGTACTTTAGATCCGTTTCTTCCACTCTAGCCATACCCGTTACACCGCTCTTCTTGTTACTACACTGATGGTAAAGCGGTTATTCTCCCTGTGGTTTACCTTCGTCGTATAGATCTGAGTAATTTTTTCACGCAATTGCCCGTCAACCCATCAAGGCTCCGTATCATACTCGAGTAAAGAAAAATCAGAGATCATGACCTTCTTTCCAGACCACATCACGAAGCATCTGCCCTCTGTCCCTCTGCATCAACTCCTCCGGCTCCTGCATACCCCAATACCCTCTACCGTCGGCGCGCACTTATTGTGTCGGTCTCGTCGGTAGGGCGGGGCGTCTTCGTTGTAGTCGTCTTCCAGGAACTCGCAGGCGGAGGAGCAGTCGTTGGTGGATGGGGTCATCAGTACGAAATCCAACATACAAAGAAGACGAAACCCCAATCCAATCCGAAGCGCCACCAAAATCTTGCCCTTGTCTAGGCCAGATACTGATGTTGTGGGCACAATAAAAAGAAATTAAAAGAAATCCAAAAAAGGAAAGAGGGAGGAGGAAGAGAAGGGAAAAGAGGAGGAAGGTGACAATCCCAGCTGGCTTCTTGGTACCTACCAGAGTCCAGTAGACCATATCTATCATCTGAGAACCATCCGGACCTCTGAGTTGCGCCCTGTACTCGCAAAGTTGACGTTCAGATACTGATGCAGGAAAATCGTGGGAGTTTCCCTTTCAGGTCGCTATCCTGCGGGGAGCCCCGGCATGCCGAGATGCCGGCCAAATAGCGCGCTCGAAAAGGAATTATTTCGTTGGCGGGTGCTAATTGCTCTTGTCATCCGGGCGCGTTCTACTGCCTCCTTCGATGAGATTAGTATTCAGTCACCCATAGATCATGATGTTGTCATGTACAGAGTATTTTTAAGGCCTCAAATGCGCTGTGACAACAATTTCATAGTGTCCGGCAAGAAACTGGGTTGAGTAACACTGCTCCAATGCTGCTCGGACACTTCTACATACTTCAAACTTGTTTTATGGACTATTCTTCGCGTTCACGTCGATGTTCTACCTCAAGATATACTCCAACCGGTCTGATGAGCTCTAGATCCTCAAATTCAGAAACTCGCAGGCTGAGACTCAAGGTTTGAGGTATAAAGCACAATTTCATTCCTGAGCAATCACTTTACTGTTGTACATCGACACGACGACACCAACACGGCGCCACTCGCAGTCTGAAAATTCCATTGGAGTGAAGCGTCGGCCGCGGATTGAACTAGCGACCATCCGAATTAGGAAGGTGCGCTATTCGCTATCGCTATTTGCCCACAGCACGAGTATGTACCCCTTGTCTACACGGCTCTTCGCCTTACTTCAGCGGTGGGGTTTGGGGATCCCTTTCAGAAGCAAGTCCTTGCCCAGCCGTACGACCGACTGCAGTACTGAAAGATGAAAACACCGATGGTGAAGCGGTTATCATGGTTGCCTTCCATTCGTAGCGGTCCCGGAGTTTGGAGCAAGCGGCAGGGGTTCGACTCCCTTTCGGTGTACTGAATCAGCGCGTTATGTGTTTTGTCCTTGCACCCCACACCTCGCACTTGGACGTCACTTTTTGGATATGCTTACCGTTTCACTGAGGTCCGAGGATACAACGCATACCGAAGAACATTTACCGCCAACTCAAAACTGCATTTTTGGACGAGTCATCAACACCTCACTCCCATCCTCTTGTATCTTTCCTCAATAGCAGTCATTCGCTCTCCTCGTTATCCTGCCTTTACATAGTGTAAGTAGTCTGTCCCAACGGCGCTTGACACTCCAATGTCCGTTACCATCATCTCACTGCGCGCGGCGCGCGTGGCATCCTCCCATTTCTCATTCCCGTCTCTTTCCAATGTGGTCAGGGAGTCAAGGCTATCTCACGGAAATCCCTTCCTTACCACACCGATGGTGCAGCGGTTCCCGCCCCAGTTTGGTGTGATTTGCTGTTATGATGACTCATTGCTTTTGGATCCATTGCTTGCACCCGTCGAGCCTGTCTTCTTATCTTACTCATCCCACCCGCTCTGGCTACCACGCCAGATGGTAGAGTAGTTATCCTGCCCGTGGTGTATTAAACCGAACGACGTGTATTTTGGCGCCGCTGCCCCAGTTATTTCGTGACTCGCTAGCACCGGGAACCATATCATCGTGCAGTGGGATCCTTGCCCGATCGTAAAGCATCCGCAAACCGGCAGTTCCATTTTCGGGACCGGGCGCCGGCTAACCACCACCACCACCACCAGAATCTCCCTCGACTCCCGAGATCACCAATTCCTTTCTCCGTCTGCAACTTATTGTTCTCATCGCACCCGAAATTGGTTCAAGGGCGGCCGTTTCTTTCGTACCGCTCCAGCTATCTGGATCAGACCGTTCAACAAGTGCACCTCACTTCCTAAATTGACCAAGCCAAAGCACCATACTCAAATAAAGTCCAGTATCACTCACGGCGCTCCACTACCTTCCGCATCCGTCCTCCTGTACATCAACTCCTCCGCCTCCGCACATCGCATGCCCTCTACGCGCAGTTATGTGTCGGTCTCGTCGGCCGTTGAACCTGGAGGAGAAGGAGGCAGGGGCGGGGCGTCCTCGTCGTAGTCGTCTCCGAGGAACTCGGACGGAGGATGCTTAGGCGGACGGGTCCGGAGGGTTGAGAAATTTGAGGCTAGGTGACGGCGGGGCGCATCTCAGAGATCAAGAATAAACACTAAACAGACGGGTCAGAATTTTGAAACCGTGATATCCAACTAAAATGTGCACCTTTTCGCATGGTTACTAGGCACGAGTAAACGCTATCCCTCCACCTGCGTACAGCACCCGGGTCCGCGGCAACCGCCGTCCGAGGGTTCGAGTCCGACTAAGTGTTCGCGAGTTTTTTTATTTTATTTTATTTTCATGTCGCCATACATTGTTGCGCGACTAACAACGTATTTGGCGCGTATTTCTGTAGTTAGACTGTCAGTAGATACTGTGTGACACGAATGGCACTTGTTTTTTTCGACATGGGGTCAGGATTCCCAAATAGGAAGGACATAAACGAAGTCGCGTTCACCCACCAGCCCATCAGAATTCTTTCATACCCGGACTTCCTCCAGATGGCTACCTTTTCCAAAATAGCAGTTGAGAACCAGAAATGCAGCACATGCAAGGATCTTCTGCCATGCACTGCCGACCACTTCAAGCCGACCTTTGGCTCTTCCGGGATCACATACATCAAAACCTGCCATAAATGTGCCGACAAGGGACGTGCGCGGGCCAGAAAACGTCGCGAGAATGCAAAGATGGATAAGGAGAATGACCCCGGATCAGGGAAAGACGTGGACGCCGACACGAACCCTAGTACATCGCGGACGCGTCCTGAGGCCTCGGACCCTGCCAGTGATGATGCATCTGACTTCCTTGGCCTTACAGAGGTCACTCTCGACGCGTTTCTGGAGGCGCTTACAAAGGAGAAGGAAGTTATTACGCTTTCTGCCTTTGTCAGTCTTGCTGGCATTGAGGGACATATGGATGAACGCGTCCGCTTCCTCCGATTGGCCATATGGGATCAGCTCTCCTACCGGTTCAAGTACGTATCATTCGGTTATGCTATTGTATTCTAATTCAGGCTCTCTAGTGTTCATAAGAGGGGCAAGCCATCGGAAACAGGTGTTACACGTTACTCCTTCAACTGCGCCCAAATGGCTAAGCGCCAGAGCAAGTCCCAAAAGACAGAAGGACCAGATGTTAAGCACCGCGGGAAAGGCCGAATGGATAGTTTTGACTGTGATGGATGGCTGTATATCTGGGCGAGTGAGGACTCTGACTGTGTCTTTGTTCGCATCCGCCACAAAGTACAGCATGTCCATTACTGCTGTATTGACGTTCCAGATGATGTACGCAAGTATGTTATCGACAACCCTCAGCTCCGGGTTCCACAAGTAAGTACTTATAGCTTTTGCTTTCTTGGAGTCTCATGTCTTTGTAGCTTTGGGGCGAAATTCTCAAGACGCATCCATCACCGGACTTTACCCAAAAGTCTATCTATAACTTATGGGCTCAGCAATCGGAGCACCAGTGGAAGCGCGACGCTGACGAAGTCAAATCTGCTCGTATCCTTCTTGAGGAATTTCAGAACAAGCCGGTCAATTCCGCATACAGTATCGAGTCGATACCGATGCCCGAAGCTCAAGATGGGTTTACGGCGCTAGCGTTCTCTCTTCCGAATACTCTTCGTAAATGGGGTGGTACTATTCGTGAGGTAGCACTCGACTCTGCTTGTATGTCTTCTTTATTTTCTTGCAGTGTGTTCTAACGAGCGATTTGACAGGGAATACGAACAAGTCTCGCTTCGAGGTCTATGCGCTACTCGGGGAGGTTTATGGATCTGGTTGTCCCTTGGGTTACCTCCTAATCCAATCAAACAATGGAGAGGAGGGCGCAAAGGAGAAGTATATTCGAAAACTTCTGGAGCATTTCCGCGTCAAGTGGGAGATGTGCCTTCTTGAAACGCTGTCCGATAAGGATATCACCGAAATTAACGCCTTCCTTGCAGAGCTTCCTGTGAAGCACCAGCTCTGTTTCTGGCACTGCCTTCGAGCCATCAAAGTTCGCCTAGCCACCATTGCACGCCATCCAGCTCCATATAACCCGGACGAGGCCTTTAAAGAGTTTGACTGGATCGACCGGAAATTTGTACCAGTCAATCAAATGGATCCTCGAGACGTGGTAAGGAGTCATTGATTCGTTTGTGATTCACAATATTGATTCAAATGTTTGTAGCCTACTGTTCAAGTCGCGCAGCAAGCTATCCCCTCTATCACCTTCCGGCTAGGAGGGGCCACCGTTAGAGCCCCTGAACGCCCACGTCTAGTCATTCGTCTCAATGGTGCAGTCCAAGAGGTTGATGACGATAATGCTGGTGTAAGCAATGCTCAGTTCGAGGAATTCATCGAAGAGTTAGACGACGAGGAGCTTGATCTCGATGCACAGGATCAGGAAGATGGTCCTGATTGGCTGTATGAGGACGGTGAGCTGTCGAACTCAGTCTTTGGACAGAGTAAAACCTACATCTTTTGTCCGGCACCTCACCGAAAGCGCCTCCTTCATCTCTTTACAAAACATTTCTGCGAACATCCTCTGCTTCCTGATCGTTACGGCAGTAGACGAACGGCGGGCCAGATTCGCATCGACGCTGTTTCGGAGATGTACACGTTCTGTTTCCAGCGCGGCTTGCGCGAGGTCTGGGGCTACATGTGGACATCCTGGTATGCACCCAAGAAATGGGCACTCTGGGCACGCTCCACAACACCGTATCTGTGTAGGCTTCGCACAACCATGACTGTGGAGAACTTTTGGCGTTACCTGAAGCACGAAACCCTCCACCATCTCCTTCACCCGCGCCTCGACCAGCTTCTTTGGCTTCTGATCACCGATGTTGGCCCTCGATTTGATGCCAAGATGCAGAAGTTCGACGTGAACTATCGCCCTGGACGTGCGAACGAGCTCTCGCCCTTCCAAAAAAGTTTCAAAGCTAATTGGCAGAAACTTCAGGCTCGACCGCTGGGTACTACAATCTATACGGTCAGTATTAGAGATTGGACGTGTACATGCGGCCAGCAGAAGTATAATGCATTCTGCCTCTGCAAACACTTGGTGCAGGCCGTGGAGGATCCTGATCCTCGCTTCTTCCGGGAGGTTGTGCGACGTCGGACCATTCCCTTCTATCGACATCCTCTGCTCATCCCTAAAGGGGAGGATCCTCTGTCTGATCTCGAGGATGGATGCATCACTGATGGAGATGATAGGCCTAGGCGGGTGTCCAGTTACGCTTTGGGAAAACGCCGGCGCGAAGTATCAGACGTTGATGGTAATGGTGATGAATCTGCAGGACCCAGTCGGCGACGCGGAAGTCATTCTCATCCCATTGAGCTAGGAAGCTCATCGCCTATTCGAATGGATGACAATGACGAGCACGAGGAGGTAAGCAGTACCAGTGTACTTAAGTCCAGGTACTGATGTCGCCCGATAGCATGCAGAACGACGCGCCCGATTAAGACAACGCGCACAGGATCTCATAGAGGCCGGCAGACTCCTCAACGAGCAGCTTGATTTGGATTCCAAAATATGGTTAAAGAGTGTCGATCAGAGGAACGTCGGATCCGATGCTGCTTTCTTAGTCGAAGATGTCCGAAAGTTTGCCGTCACAGGGAGACGGAGGGAGACGACATGGGCAAGGAGAGGCGATAGACATTCTGCTCGATACACTTCAAACACGATGGGCTATCAAGTCCCGCTGATGAAGGAAGGAGCAGTGGCGGCCATAGAGATGGGGGCAGATGTAGTAATGGGCAGAGAAGATAATCACTCTGGAGATGGCAGGAGCCTCGGTGAGGCAATTGAAATAGATTAGAGCAACCAATTTTCTATGATATTGGCAGTGTGCTGTGCGGCGTGGCGACGTTGTGGCGGACGAAGCTTAGAACATGAATCCTAAAAAGGAAGTTGATCATTTTGAGCCCACAAGTCCATCAAAAAGAGTGCCATTCATGTCCTATCTACGGACACAGACACTATAACTACAGAAATAAGCAAGTGCCAAATACTCGTCACTGAAGGCGCCGCAAATGACGCACTTCGACCTCCCGATCCCCCTTGATCGGGAGGTCGAAGTGCGTCATTCGTGTCTCGCGACAAGAAATAAAAAAAGACTTGGTCGGACTCGAACATTGGTGGGTGGCTGTGGAAAACCGCGAATGATCCGCTGACGATGCCGCGGACGACGACACGAAGATGGCAGGAACAGCGATACACAGCCACCATCTGTTCCTTCGAACAGATGATGTCACCAATCTGCTGAAATGGGCCCAGCAGGCTTCGGCAGCGGCCGCATGTGTGATGCGGGCACATCGGATCTTGTACTTGCGTTGGCTAACAACAGGTATACGCGTCAAATACGCTGTCATTGTCGCAAATATGTGCGAGTACATGAAAATAAAAGAAATAAAAAAGAACAGCCAACACTTGGTCGGACTCGAACCCTCGGACGGCGGTTGCCGCGGACCCGGGTGCTGTACGCAGGTGGAGGGATAGCGTTTAATTAGGCACGCCCGCGAGTCGGTTTCCATGGCGCTTTCCTAGGTCAGTGGGGAAGCTCGTGTATATGAGCTGTCTTCTGGATTACCGGCCTTGATTTTAAATCAACACCAGCGAGAAAAGAGGCAGTCACTGCGGACGAGGCGTTGAAAAGTAGACGCCGCAATCGCTTTTGCCTGTGCATGTCGTCGATAAGGAGGCGCGAGATAGGAACCTTCAATCGTTCAACGTTCAATGCCCTGCTCGTTGGACATGGGTAGTACATTGTGGATGTGCGAGGTCGATTCTAAGCGAGGCCGTCCACGCAATAAATTCCATTCTTCGCACTCCCAAGTCGGTTTGTCGTGCCCAGAGATGCCGACGTGAAGGAATGAGATTTGAAGGTGGTGGTAAGAAGTAAAGCCATCAGGTTGCCCGATTAGGTTCAAACACGATCGATATATATTCTTGCTCTTGCCCGCCATCTCGTGTCCGGTGTCTCTGTAGGTGGGACTTTGTCAGTCCTTATGCCGGACGGTCACCTCTCTCGATATTCTTCCCTGTCGTGTCTCGCAAAATCTGACTGTGATTCTCCACGAATTGAGCGGCTCTGTCATCTCCTCTTTGACGTGACTACATATTCATAGCTCACCTGTATCTCCTCTGCACCTCGAGTCATCTGTCTTCCCAACGGGTTGTCTCTTCTGAGCAATGTCGTGTCATATTGTCCGGCTAACGAATGAGCACGTTGTCAAACTGATGGTGAACTGGTTATCATGCTTGCCTTCCATGACTGCTGGGCATCATCGTTCGAGCAACGGCAGAGGTTGGATTCCTCTTCGGTGTATGAAAGTGAGGTTGGCTTCAATTTTGACTCAGAATTTGTGCCACAGTGAAAAGTACTTTAGATCCGTTTCTTCCACTCTGGCCAGAGAAGGATAGATACACCACGTACCCGTTGAGTCCGTCCGACCGCTCTCCTTATTACCACGCTGATGGTAAAGCGGTTATCCTCCCTGTGGTTTACCCTGACCGTGTAGATCTTTTTTCACACAACCCATCAAGGCTCCGTACCATATGTACTCGAATAAAGAAAATCAGAGATCATGACCTTCTTTCCCGACCACATCATGAAGCCTCTACCCTCTGTTCCCCTCTGCATCGACTCATCCGGCTCCTGCATACCCCAATGCGCGCACGGTCTCGTCGGTAGGGGGCGGGGCGTCCTCTTCCAGGAACTCGGCGGCGGAGGAGCAGTCGTTGGTGGATGGGATCATCAGCACGAAATTCAACACAGGAAGAAGACGAAACCCCAATCTAATCTGAAGCGCCACCAGAATCCTCCCCTTGTCTACACGGCTCTTCTCCTTACTTCAGCGGCGGGGGTTTGGATAAGTAAGTGTCGGCAGGATCCCTTTCACTGTTCAGAAGCAACAGCGCGACGAACCGAGTGCAGAACAGCAGCATGACTACACCGATGGTGAAGCGGTTATCATGCTTGCCTTCCATGGAGCGGGATTGAGCAAGCGGCAGGGGTTCGACTCCCCTTCGGTGTATTGAGACTTGAAGCAGGTCCTCTTTTTGTCTTCAACGCCACACGTCCAACGTGGATTAGGGTGGTGAAGTAAACCTACCCCTCGGTAACTTACCGGTAAGATACCGGGACCTCTGGGAGGCCCAGGTTTCAATACCGTTACTTACCGTTACTTACCCAACACGTGACTTTTCACGTGAGAAGCGTGGCGCAATTTCTTGCGGGCTTCTGGGCCTTGATTTTTTGCTCCCCAGAGTGAATTTTGGCATCAAATTGCACATATTTCAACTGTATCTACCATTCAGTACCTTACACACTATCTGTGAGCTACAGTACCCTCTCATCTCCACCTGCAACCCCCTCCCGCCTTCCGTGGCCAATCATGTGATATGTCACGTGTTTGGTAAGTTACCTACCTCCTCGACCGTGAGGTAAGTTACCGGTATCGATACCGGTAACTTACCGCAGTAAACCCTACCGGTATCAAAACCTAGGGTTTACTTCACCACCCTAACGTGGATGTCACTTTTTGGATATGCCACCTTTCTACCGAGGATACAAAGCATACCGAAGAATATTTACCGCTGAATCGAAACCGTAATCTTGGAAGGCACCGGCCACCATCGCGCCCCTCCCATCTTCCCTCGATAGCAGCCATTCGGTCTCCTCATTACCCTGCCTTTACATAGTGTAGTCTGTCCCGAGGGCACTGGACACTCCAATGTCCGAACTGTGGACCCTCATATTATCGCACGCGTGGCGTCCTCCCGTTTCTCATTCCCGTCTCTTTCCAACGTGGCCAGGGTTACACATTCTACTTTGACTCGCAGAAATCCACTTCCGTACCATACCGATGGTGCAGCGGTTATCCCGCCCCAGTTCGGTGTAGTTATAGAGCCTCATAGCGTTTTTGGACCCTTTCTTTTGCACCCGGTGAGCTGTCTTCTTGTCTTACTCACCCCACCCGCGCTCGTTACCACGCCAGATGGTAGAGTGGTTATCCTGCTCTTGGTGTATTCCCATGCAAGGACCATTTTTGGCGCCGCTGCCTTAATTACTCGCTAGCACAGGAACCACATCACGGCGCGCCACCAGAATCACCAACGTGACTCCGCTTGCCAGTTGTACCAAGTCCTCGTACCGAAGTCGGTTCGAGGTCCGCTATTTCTCGCTTCCAGTATCTGAATCACACCGTTCAACAAGTGCACGTCACCTCATAAATTAATCAAAGCTCCGTACCATACCATACTCAAATGAAAGTCCAACATCACAGATCAGATCACGGCGCCCCACTGCCCTCCGCCTCCGTCCCCCTGCGCATCAACTCCTCCGCCTCCTGCATCCCGCGCACATCGCCAATGCCCTCTACCGTCGGTGCGCGCTTATGCGTCGGTCTCTGCGACCCGGTTGAACCTGGAGGAGAAGGCGGCGGGGGCGGGGCGTCTTCGTCATAGTCGTCTTCCAGGAACTCGGCGACGGAGGGGCCGTCGTCGGTGCTTAGGCGGATGGGGCCGTCTGTGCCGTTGAGGGATTTGAGGCTGGGAGCGGGGGGTGCGGCGTTAGTGAGCGTGGGGAGGAGAAGGGAGGGAGAACAAGGAAAGTGTAGCGTCCAGAAGAAGAAATCCAAAGAACATTCCAAAATCCAACAGCCGAGAAACCCAACGACGACGCGACACATATGAAATCCGACCCCAAGCAAACAAGAACACTCACCCAACGCCAACAACCCTTCTTACCGCACTCGCGCGGCGCCATAGGATGAACACCACGCAGCAGAATATAAGCGACAGGAGGAGGATAGACGGGACATGCCCGATGGGCTGGGGCTTCGGGGAGGGGGTGGGCTCTGTAGGAGGTGTTAGCGACGTGCTGGGGGGATGAGGAGGGAGATAGGGAGGCCGAATGGGAGTGGGACGCCCGACGCGCACGTATGGAATCAACGCACCTCCCGGAGCAGTATTCACCGCTGGCATTTTACTATAATAGTCGCTTGACCAATAGGGTATGTCAAAGTTAAAGCGTCGCAGCTGCTACAGTGCTGCGACAGTTAGTTGATACAGTAGTTGCGACAGTTCTGAATACACGGCACCGGCAGTCCGGCACTGCGTCGGAGTTTGAAAAGAAGAGAAACGTGTCCATCGTGTTTAAAAACTGCATCTCTCCAATAAGCGCAACAAGAAAGGCTTTGAGGAGCCTCTGTGTAACTTGTTCACGCGGCGTGGTGGGTGACATGAAAGCAGCGTTGAAATCTTATCGATCGATTTTCGCGACACTTATTTAAACTCCGACGCTGTACTCGACTGCCGGTGCCGTGTATTCAGAACTGTCGCAACTACTGTATCAACTAACTGTCGCAGCACTGTAGCAGCTGCGACGCTTTAACTTTGACATACCCTAATTTGAATTGAAAACAATGGTAGGTTATATGGGTTGGAAGAAGGAACTTGTTTCACTTAGTTTTGCGTGCAAAGGTGGCGCATCAGACACTACTTAACTGCAGCACAGTAGCATCGTGTTAGTCCCGGACAGCTGGTACAAAGTGGCGCAACGAAAGTCGTACAATGAAAGGTGAGTAAGACTAAAACATCATTTCTTTTTACTACTAAGCTTAGTACCACGCTTCTTACCTTGACCGTAGGACCTCGAGGTAGACGCTTCTTCCTCCTTATAGTCCGATAGATACAGTGGCTCTTTCATCGGAACCGGAGACTTTGGGTATGGGGACGGTGGCTGTGGGGGAATTGGAGACCACGGTAAGGGTACCCCCTCAATTGCAGATCGAGGAGAGGGTGTGCGTGATGGAATGCCTGACGGGGATTGGCTCGCACCCGAGGGTCCGAGACGAGCAAGAAGACAGTTCATCGCCAACGTTGCATGACGGTAATCGCCGGACATACATTTCGCGATGAAGATGTTTCGCTGGGCTTCACTCTCCTCCCAATGATCAAGGGCAAAGTCGAGCTCAACCTCGCGGATTTCGGGGTATCTAACGTTTCAGTGAGAATATGACCAAGGTGGCCTACTACACGAACTTACCGCGATGTAAACATCGAGAACAGCTCGTTGAATATATTATCGACCGTTAGCCTCTCGCGGAGAGCATCGAGACACATTTGTTTGAGGGCTGGTAAGTCGATCTACCAAGTATGTGAGTGTTGTTTTTAAACAAATTCAGGATGTCGACCAACCATGTCAGCAAGTCGATACATCGACTTGGGCGAGCTCAGATCACTCGTTGTACCCTTCCCTTTTCCCGCGGTTTGAGTGGACTTGAGGGGCGCTAGAGTGATCTCCTGCGTGTATAGATACTTTAAAAGGCCCTTGAACCTACATCGCAGTTAGCGCGCGCTCAACGACGAGATAAAGTCTACAGACGTTTTGTAAGCAATGTTCTTCGGCTGGCAGATGCGACCCATGCGCCGAGTGGCAGCCATTTGGGGCGTTGTAAGCTCTTCAAGAACGTCAACGTGGCTTAGAAAAGTTCTACATTCAACACCGGAATCATTGAACCTATCACGAATCCAATCACCTGTTCGCTAATGATGTTTGCTTTACCTGAGGCTCGCCTTCCTCCAATTCTTCGAGGTCGCTGTCTTCATCGTAGTCGTAGTCGTCCACGGAACTCTTTACTTCCCATTCACCGTCAAGGTCTACGATCTGCGATTCCGAAAAATCATCGCCTAGAATCACTATAAACGGTCACTCAGGTATCATGTCTGCGTAGAAAGCAGCGACTCACGGTTATCCAAAAAGTAACTAACTTGATGTAAAACCGCGCGACTCCCGTAAATCGGCTTCGGGCGACACACAGTTCCATCACGCGTCACCGCCGTGAAGAGATAAAACTTGACATCCACAAATTCGCCCGACTCGATAGTGCGCGTCAAAGCGTCCTTCGCCCGATCGCCGAGTACCGCAGAAGACGTGGGATCTTTGAAGGGAGAACCATAAGGGAACGAGACCCGGAATGTGAATGTAACCCTCTGCACGCCCTCTAAGCGGACGGAGCACATCCCGATGCGATTGTGCACGCTGTCTCCAGTGCCTAATGACGGAGAGCAGAACCCCAAGGATACGGTGCGAGCGTAGGTCGGGTTGAACATCATAGCCGCTGTACACCCGACAATCAATCCCGTACGCATGACGCCAGAGGCGTTCCCCGTTGGCGGTGTGAAGCAAAATGAGGCCGCGAAATTTGCCGCCCAGTTGTCGCTCTGTGACTCGGAGGGCTCGAGATTGACGGCGATTTCAAAGTGCCAGCCAAATCCACAAGAGTCCGTGCGTAGCGACGCACCGCCGGTGGGTACTGGGTCCAAGACGAATGTCGATGTAACTGTGTCCGATGTCCATGCATCTGGGATTGACTTTGGGAGTCGCAGCTCTTGCTTGAACGAAGACATGGTGGTTAATCGTCAAGGTCCGTCGATGGGCATGGGAATGCGACTGTCGCAAGGCATGAGGCAGTAATCACTCCGAAGTGCACGCTTACCTGATGCTTGCCATAAGAAGCGAGCAGATAGTGGTTCTGGCAACATTGCTCGAAACAGACATGAATTCCACTCAGAATTCAAGTCTTACTAACAACGAGGAGGATAACTTGAATGCGGAGGGTCTGTTTCGAGAATTTTCTTCCCGAGAACGCGTCCTGCTGAAGTGCCCATGAGGCGGTTTGACCAAGATGAAAAAGCACGTACTAAACGGAGGCAAAATGGTAAACAAGAAGGCGAGTGGAAGGAAAAACTTCGCGTACGTGTGTTGCAGTAAACATAAGCTTCAAGTTGGCAGATGTACAGCTTGAGATATGAGCTCCATGAGCTCCATTATTTCCGAGGAGGAGATCAAGCAGGAAAGTGTGTCCGTCAGATTGAGTGGCTCACAAAGACGTGTCCTTCTAAAGCGTCTTGTGAGGCACTGGGGCCCGGAGAAACTAAGAGATACCACGTACCCAAGCGAGACGAAGGCTAACCTAGAAGGCGAATAGAAGGAATAATTTCGCGTACGTGTTGCAGTATCCATTGCTAT